CCCACAATCTAAAATTGACGAGATGATTCTCAAGATGCCCCAAAGGATCAATGAACTCCACGATTTGAAAGGAAGATCTACTAAATATTAATTAAATTATAAATATATCAATTCATATATATATGACTGAAAAATTTCATTTTTTCTGAAAAGGTGGTGTCTGTTTACTTGTGGCCACGCTATGTAGTTGATTTTACTACAGATAGTATTAATGTAGAGAAAATAAGAGACAAAATATAAATTCAAATCAGATAGGCTTACAGAAAGCAGCAATCTTACCATAATGAGAAATGTTTATTCTGAATTTTACTGAAGAATTCCTAGGTTTTGTTTTTTAATGAAAGTTCGTTTATTTCTTGATTCATATCCAACTTTCAGTCTTTCATTTTGGTATTTCTCAAAGACTATTTCTGGAGGTTAAAATTTTGACACATACTTACCTCCTCTCACACAAAAGCTATCTCGATCATTGTCTGCCCTCTAAGCCTTGCTAAAAGAATTTTTGGTAATCAGTGCACCAGTCTTTATACTCCACCACTTTCGCGCCATTTCTGAACATGTACTTATCGTGTGTCTACTCTCCACCAATAGTATTGTGCCACCTATAATGGTGCTGCTAGTTCCCTCTGCTATTCCTGCTCAATCCTCACTTTCTCAATTAGCATGACATGGTTTAAACGTGTGTTTAATTTTTCCGAGTGTGACTACAGTATTTGATTGTACTTCTTTACCATTTCTGATGGAGTTTATTCAATAATTTCAAATTTTTGTGTTTGATTTCATTTGTTTCCATGAATTTGCATTCAAAATTTTCTTGTTCTTGAATTTTACAGGTTTTAGTATGAATTTGAGGTTTCCTGTGGCAGACAATTATATCATGACAGGTGACAAAGCACATGGGGTCAACTTTATCTGCTGAGGAAGTACATCCCTTGATTCCCAAGGAGTTAAGCTTTATGATTGGCCATCGTTTTCTTCCTTTTTTTCAATATGACACTGTTTCTTAGGAAGAGGACACTCATTGAGCTGATACTTTGGTCTCTCCTTACCATTCCTCCTATATCATCCTCTATCTCGACCTCAATCCTTCCTCCCTAGGACCTATGCTGCCAGTGACTGTGTTCTGGTTTTCATACCCATTTCCTTACCTTCCATTTCCCACTTGTACTTCCATTCCAATCCAGATAGGCTTCCTTGTCTGGTTCGTTCCTTCAGGTGTTATGTGGCACATTCTGCCTCTTTTCAGAAAGCTGTTTAATTATGAAAATGTCATAAATTTTAGCAAATTTGTGCTTAAAAGTTGGCAATGAATAATGAATAATAACCATTCACCAGTATGATTCTTTTGAAAACTTGAGCTAGAAATTGCTAATCTAATTTGCTTGGCCTAAGCAATACTTATGTATCTGCATATGCTTTCACCCTGTAGTTTTACTGCTCTGAATTAGCCACATTTACTCTTAGGTGAAGCTGTACTAAAAGGTTTAGACTGATAGCTCACGTGACTTTTTACGTAAGTGTGCGCAAAAATTTTGGTCAAAATTGAACGGTTTTTTTGTTGAATAACTTTGCACATGTGGCTTATATTTGGACCAAATATGATACCTAATTTTAGGTTGTAAAACTATATTAGTGTACCAAATTTGAAAAAATCCATAACATTTTTGTATGTTTTTCTATAAAATAAAGTTTCCATACTTTCATTGCAAAGAAAAAATAGAAAGGAATTCAATCAAAATTTGAGAAATTTTTATCTTGTGTATTTTTTAATGGATTGCCTTGAAATTTGGTATGTGAAGGAAGGATCCAGTGGAGCACATCCACTGAACATATATGATAGTCTGGACGACCACAGTCTAAGCTGCAGAAAGTGGAAAATCGCTAAACTATCAATCAGTGTGTGTCCTGTCATTTGTTTTGGCAACATGACACACTACCATGTGTTTTGACATTAAGATAAAAGCTAAAAAAGAGGATGCTAGTTATTTATGTAGACAGTTTTTTAGTGTTGAAATAACTGTTAAATGTTTTTTCTACTATGCAGAACAACGATCCTTCCACAAACAGAGAAACTCAAGACTATGTTAAGTCACCTGAAGAATTTTCATGAAAAATTTATGGAAGAATACAAATAGGTTAGTATAGAGCTTAATTAAAATTTTGTTTCTGGTAAAACAAGTAGTTATGTTTTTTTTAAAAACTTATCTTTTATTTTATTTTGAAACATTGCTACCTTTGCTAGGTTTACCTACCATTATCAGGTGGAAACAATTGAGTAAGGGGACAAAGCCATTACGCATTGCAGTATTAGTAGTGATACTACACAACAAAGCAACAAAATAAAAACAAGTCAAACACAATTGTTAAGTAGAGAAAATTTAAAATAAAGTATAATTTTATACATGAATAGTAGTTAATGCTAGGTAATAGAGAGTTAAGAAAGAGAGCTTCTCTGATTTTTCTATTTATATTATTTTCTCTGCCAATGATTTTGATACCTGAAAAAAATAAAAATGTGCTTATTTTGAGTTATATGCTCAAACAAAATGGAAGGGGCTTTTAAATGTTCTTTTAATCTTATAGAAACTTGTTGACTGGTTTCTTCTGTATAAGAATTACTACAGTCTTTGAGCACATAGCTCAAAGTAAACATGCTTTTGTGTTTTCAGGTGTTAAATTAATTGGCAGAGAAAATAACATAAATAGAAAAAATCAAAGAAGTTCTCTTTTATTAAAAAACCTAACATTAAAAATATTCAGGTGTAAAGTTATATTTATTTTAATCTTTCTCTAGTTAACAATTGTTTGATTCGCTTTAATTTTGTTTCTTAGCAATGTAGTATCGTTATTGATACGAAGTATATACAGCAAAATGAAATGTTTTTAAAAAATTAAAAAATAATAAGTTTTTAAAAACATAATTATTTCTTTTACTCATACACAAAGTTAGAAGTTCTTCTTTTAATTTAGTATAGAACATAGTTATGTCTTATTGATTCTTGAAATACATAGTGTCAAAACTGACTACGAATTTTTATACAAGCTAAGCTCTTGTAACTTTGGAACTACTCCCAAAAAAATGTTACTTTTCTCATATTATGATTCTTCAGAGACTAACAAAGGATTCCAAAACTTGCTTATCAAAGTATGCAATTTACACCAGCAGAAGTCTTCTTAATTTTTATACCACTTTAGGAGTTTAAGTGCATAGTTAAAATAGAATGGTAACACTGTAGTGAAACATTAGGAAATGCACAGTAAACACTATAGTGTTAAACATACATCATGTTTTTTTATTCTGGTGGATTTATGGCTCTTCTATATGAAATTTTTTTTTCATGCTAAATTTGGCAGGAAGTACCAGTAGTAACAAATGTAATGCATTTTTCAGAAGAGCGTAAAATTTATGGTTATTTTACATTTAAAAAAATCCCTTGAGGCTTGTAATACTGAAACTTGGGATACTATCCCATTGTTTAGCTCTGCACTAAAACTTCCAATGTTACCATTTCAGCTTGCTAGTTCTGTGATTTTTGTGGCTTATAAATAATGTAATAAACTACCAACGTTACTGCAGAGTGGTGTTCCTAAAGCTTGATAATTCTGTGATTTTCATGGCTTATAAATAGTGTTGTAACTACTAAAGTTACTACTACAGTAATGTTCCTAAACTTGCTTGTTCTGTGATTTGCATGGCTGATTGATACTTTTATAAACTACCAAAGTAACTGGCCCGGCATGGCCAGGTGGTTAGGGCACTCGACTCGCAATCTGAGGGTCGCTGGTTCGATTTCCCATCCCACCAAACATGATTCGCCCTTTCAGCCATGGGGGCATTATAATTTGATGGTCAATCCCACTATTCATTGGCGGTGGGTGGTGATGACTAGCTGTCTTCCCTCTAGTCTTACACTGCTAAATTAGGGACGGCTAGCGCAGATAGCCCTCGTGTAGCTTTGTGCGAAAGTTAAAACAAACAAACAAACCCAAATAACTACTAGAGTGGTGTTCCTAAAGCCTGCTAATTTTGTGACTTGCATGGCTTATAAATAATGCTATAATCACCAAAGTTTTTACTAGAGTTGTGCTCTTGAAGCTTGCTAGTTCTGTGATTTGCATGGCTTATCGATAGTTTTATAATTACCAAAGTTGCTACTAGAGTGGTGTTCCTAAACTTGTTATTTTCATGGCTTATTGATAGTTTTATGAACTTCCAACGTTACTACTACAATTGTGTTCCTAAAGTTTGCTAGTTCTATAATTAAACTTACTTCATCGAGAAATTACTACAAAGACAGTAGGCAGCAAACTCTATGTAAATTAGCTACAGTGTATAGAATGTGATGAAAAAAAAAACAAAAACAATACAACATATAGAATGACAGCCAAAAAAGGAAGACAACAGTGTGTAGAATGCAAAAATTGAAAAAGAAGATTATAATGTATAGGATTTAATCAAAAAAGAAAGACTTCAATATATATAGAATATCATAAAAAAAAAAATGGAAGATTACAGTGTTTACAATGTAAACCAATATGAAAGACTACAGTGAATAGAATCCCAACCAGAAGAGGAAGAATACAGTGTATAGAATGTCATCCAAACAGGACTATGGTAAATAATATGTATTCTAAAAAAAGTAACAGTGCAAAATAGCTATTCAGAAGAGTGTGAAATTATCTATAATAGAAATAACTTCTGTTGTTTTTTTATATGTATGACAAAATAATATGATAGAAATCTTTTCTAAGATGTTGATGTGATAGAAAGAACATTTTCGAGACTAGAAAGGCAAACATTTGCAAGTGAATGCGGTATTTTTCTCCCCAGCCACCTTATTTGATAAGATTCTCAAAGTAATTTCAAAAGAGAATGGTAGACAAAGCATAAAGGAAAGTAGCATAAATTATAACATATATATATACTTCAGAGGGATAGACACTTAATACAGTTTCAACTTGAGATTTCTTTATGAGAAAGACGTATTGAAAAATATTAAATTGTGATCTTATATACATTGTTTCTGCATAAATAAATTTATCCACAATGACAAATACTTTAGGTCTTATTTGCCCCAAAAATTACTTGTATTCTTCAACATGGAATATACAATTTCATGTATTTTGTGAACCAAAACAACCCCTTAAACATTTACAAATGCACACTGTCTCTAGGTTTAGAACTCCCTACTACTTATATTCCTTTTTTTTCTTTTTATCCCTATAAAATCAAAAGAAAGGCACAAATCCCAACTATGTCACATGATATCTTCCATCAAAGTTGCATCAGAATTGTGAAGAATGGTAGATCAAAAATCTTAATTCTCCAAAATATTTTGGTCTCTATACCTTATAATATTGCAAGAAAAGCATAAATCCCAAATCCATCTGTTTCTCTCTGTGGGGTTGGCATAAGGTATTGTTGTGTCAAGTCTCATTTGAATTGATGGAAATATAAGGGAACTGCAGACAAAATATGTTTTTGTAATCTTTGATCCCCTAAAATCAGAATGGTGATATAAAGAAAATAAGCATATTAGACCAAGGTATATATCCTACGAATTTCAAGACTATCAACCCAGAAATAAAGGAATAGCATATAATTATAGTTAGGATTACCATACGTCCTGGTTTAGCAACGTTGTCCTGGAGTCCCGGCCAGTTTGAAATTCTGTCCCGGTTCTAATCACAGTTTACTAAAAATTAATTTGTCCTGTCTGAAAATGTAAGATTGTCTCGTATACATTAATATCAGAACTTTGGTGGTTATCAGATAGCATATTTAATGTAACTAGGCTAAAATTCTACTTGTAAAAACTGGCAAGTTCTAAGCTTTGCATTATACTACGTGCATTTGTTTATCTTTGAATCAACACACATGGTAATGGCGCCTGCCCGTGCATGCCAGCTCTGCTGTCAGCCAATAGCGATGTCCAATCCATTTATATAGATCAGTGGTCACAGCGCATGTGCATGGGACTGTTGGCATTTTGCCATATTTTGTGGCTTTTGCCCATTTCCAAACTTTACTTCGGCATAGATTTTGAAATTTTAACTTTTAAAAATTTTAATTTACTTTTACAATGCTGAAAAGAGCGTGCACAATTACGCAATCTCAAAGGCACAAAGGCGAGTGTTGCTTCAGCTGCTAGTTCATTACGATTAGATACCTTTTTAAAAAGGTCAGAAACAACCGATTTGGAGCTTCTCGTTGCCACTAAAGAAGCCACCTTTGCTTTTCATACAGTTTCTCATAATTTGAGTTTCAAGACATCCGACTGTTCGTCAAAGTTGGTTTCAAAACTCTTTGAGCCAAAATTTCGTCTAGTGCAAACAAAATGTGAAGCCATGATTTTGAATGTAATTGCACCAATGGCTAGATCTGAGCTTGCTAAAGACCTAGCAGGGGCAAACTTTGTGACAATTTCTATGGATGCGTCGAACCAAAAAAAGGATATTAAAATTATACCTTTCATGATTCAATACTACATTTCTGGCCAGGGGGTACAAGTCAAATTCTTGGATATATACACTGTTCCAGGTGAGACGGCTGAGATCTTGACTGATGCTTTAGTCTCAGTTATTGACAAACACGAGTTGAAGGAAAAAGTTGTTGGATTTTGTGGAGACAACTGTAACACAAATTTTGGCAGCATAAAACGAAAAGGTAAGAACATCTTTAGCTGATTAAAAAACAAACTTGGAAGGGACCTTGTTGGCATTGGCTGTGGTGTACAACTGTCTCCAAACAGCTGTTGATGTGTTACCAATCGATACCGAAGCACTTATTGTGAAAATATTTTCACATATACACAGTTCGTGTAACACAGCTAAAGGAATTTTGCGACTTTGCCAGAGTGTAATACAAAAAGCTATTACCACATGGTAATACCAGATTTTTGTCAATGCTACCAGCAGTTGAAAGAATTTTTTACATTTTGATGGCTTGAAATCGTACTTTTGTTTCCAAGAACACAACCCAAGATTGATAAAACTATTCTTTGAAAATGATTGTGGAGAAATGTATTTATGGTTTGTACGTGGACAGCTCAGCCTTTTAAACAAAGTGATTTTGGTCATGGAGAAGGACAATGCCAGTGCAGCACATATTAAACTAGAAATGCAAACCCTGATTACAAATATAGAAAAACGAAAAAACTGTGAATTTGTATCTCAAGGAGCAAAGAGAAAACTTGAAGAAAATGGTGAAATCATTGAAAAAGTGAAGACAGCATTTAAAAGTTTTTATGAAAGATGTCTCTCATACCTGGACCTATGGAAAGAGAGTTTTGGACAGGCAGAAGACTTTGTGTGGTTAAATTCTGGAGACATATCTCTGCAGTTAAGATCAACCAAAGGATTGAAAAGCAAGTAGCAAACATTGATCAATTATTTGATGAGGTTGTTATTGCAAAAAGCTTTTGGGCTTCTAAGACAGAAATTTGGGCAACACAAAACTTTATGTATGAGGAAAAGTGGCAATACTTTTTTGCTCATTGCAAAAAAAGACATTTATTAGTAAAAAATTTTAGTGCTGTAGTAGAGTACTTTCTTTGTCTTCCTGGTACTTCTGCACCAGTTGAACGAGTGTTTTCTGTAATAAATAATGTGTGGTCAGAAGAGAGGGGCAATATGCTAGAAGCTACAGTCAGGGGTCTTCTGATGACCAAAATAAATTTCCCACTAAGCTGCTCAGTTTTTGACAAAATTAAAAAGAACAAGGTATTTCTTAGAAAAGTAGTTTCAAGTGAAAAATATGAAAATACTGGTGATTCAATAAAATATTACTTGACAATAAAAACGTGTTTAATTTATTTCTAAATGTCACTGTTCTACTCGAAAATATTTTACATGCATGTGCTGTCAAGCAAAGCATAGCTGCTTTGTATGTCTTCTGTTTCTGTTCCATGTCTCTTAACACTGACTCTCAGGGTTCCTTCTAAGTGAAAAGACGAATCGTACATCTTGCCAGCTCACTCGTATCACTTCGGCACTTGCCAAGAACTGCCTTCTTATAAGAAGAAAATATGCAAGTATGTTAATATATTTGCAGTAAAAACTTTCCCATACTCCCTAACTGGTGGGAAGAGTAGGCTCGCTCTCCCCAAATACCCAACTCACACCTTGCGGCTTTTCAGACCTTGCGTGATACTCCCATTGATCCCGGTTTCAACTCTGAAAATTATGGTAAGCCTAATTATAGCTGTTGGAAAAAGGAAAGAAAGAAAGGAAATACAATATATCTCCATCTCTGTGGGGGAGAAATAGTTATAGTATGATAAGAAGGGCATTTCTGAGATGATACTGTAATTGAAAGTTTTTTCAGAGGTGATAGAATGGTAGAAAGACGTTTAGCTGAACAATAGTAAAACATGATGTTTTTCTTATTTTTATTACAAACTAGACTTTATTGCATTTATGATTTGTTAATTATATTTATTAAAATTCCATTGTTGCACTGATTCCATTCTGTGTTTGTATTTATCTTGTCTTGTTTTTTATTATTTTTAGAAACCTTAATCTCACTAACAATATAAAGTACCTTACGTAGCACAGTACTTCTTGACCAGGGTTCCGCAGAATGCAAGAGTTCCACATATTCCATTGCATAAATACATACTAGTCACATAATTGCAATCTGACTACATCATATTTATGTATTAGTATAGCGGGTTCCATAATGACACAACACAATAACAACTCACTGCATTGTTTTAAGTTAGTGAGTGAGACTAGGTACAACCAGCTGCTAGTACTGCAGTAATGTTTTTTTGTAATGAATGCTGTGAAAGGTTCTGTGATACAAATTTGATGCCAGAAGAGTTCAAAAAGGTTTAGAACCACTGACCTAGCATACAAGAATTGATAAAGTTCTAATTTTAGTAAAATCTGAGTAGTTGCAAGGTAATTGCATTTGTTGTGTATAGCAGTATTAATTCAAGCCTCTACATATCTGAAGAATGTTAAAATTTATTGTCTTGTTTTTGTAGGTAAATCTCTGGACACAAAAAGCATTCCAAAAGTGGATACCTACATGTTGTTTTATATATTCTGTATTTTTGTGCCATTGATATAAATGTAAAAAATGCTTTCAACAACTGTGTTGTATGCATGAGGCAACATAGCTACACAAAACAAGTTGTTGTTATGCCCTGTGGTTAGTATTAAGAATGTTAAAATTGTTTTTGAAAAATATTACAGTTTATTTGGTAAGTTATGATACACTTTGTTGTTTTTAATTGTTGATTCTTTAAAGAAAGATATTCTAACCTTCTAAATTTACTTTAAAAAATGTATAGAATCAAATATATTCATAATGTGGAGAAAACAACGAAAAATTAGTACGGTTTATGATGTACGAAGAAACATTGATGGAATTGAAGGTATTATCTTTATTAGAAAGATAGGCTCATATCATGACCCTCATGAAGTTAGTTAGAGATATGTCTTGAGGTGTGTTATCATAAGAGAGAGAGAAAATTTTCTGTGTTTGACTTAAGAGACAGAAAGTTTCCTTACTTTGATACATTTGAACATTAGTATCATGTTGTTTTTTTGTTATAAAATTGATATATGCTGTACCTGAATAAATTGGCACAGTTTTAATTAAAGAAACAGTTTGAATAAGTTTTCAAAAAAATTTCTATTCATAAATACTTCTTTAAAAAAAAGTTACTTTTTTAAATGTTCTAATTAAAATTTCTTTTTGGGAAAGAATGTATTAGTAAATAGTGAATTGTGTTTGTTTTTCTCCAAACTAGATGTGTTGATGGGATTGATGTTATGTTACCCAATAATTAGGGTTTCAAAAAAATTCTGAAACGTTCTAGAACATTTGAAGAACAGGTTCTTCTTCTGCAGAAAACAGTGTATCTTTCTTGCTGTTCATAAAGAAATGGTCACTCTTTAAAAGGGTTTAAACTTTTTGGAGCATTTTCCCTCCCTTTTTGTAATGATCCATGGTGCTTTTTGTTTCAAAGTAACACATATATAAAACTTATATCTTACATACACTTTTGAGCAAAATATAAATCCACTTTAGATGTAAGCATTATACTTAAATATCAAGGATCTTATTACTGTTTAGTGTTTTAGTATAAATATGTTAAATGTCACTTATCGCTGAGAAAAAACATTTATGTGGAAGTCATGGTTTGTTAATGTTTTAGTCTGTTAATGCCTGAGCTTGACATTTTGAATAGAAGCAATAACTGTTCTGTTTAAAGATTGAAAAGAAAAATTAAAAAAAAATTATGAACCTGTAGTGGTGAATTTTTATTTTTGTGAAACACACAGAAAATTGGTTGAAAACTTGAGAATGCTTGCAGTTGCTTCTTAAAGATAAAAACAAAGTACTTTATAAAAATCATTTATTTTTTTATTTTATATTCTAGGGAATTCCAATAGTTCTTTTTTGTGGCAAAAAAAGTTGCATTAAGTAATTATGGTAACAGTTTGATGAACGTTGGATCCAGAAGTCTCTGACACTTCATGAAAGTGACATTTTTTAAAATTTTCTTTAGTACAGGTATATATATATATATATATATACGTTTAGTTCCATGAAATTGTATATTTGTAGATAAGGTTTACAGTACATTCTTCTTATACAGAATTGTTTGATATTAAACCAATATAGTCCCAGAGGTTGAGTTTCAGAATTACTTTTTAATAGCATTGTTTGTAATTGAATTCCTACAAAAACCAGTATTTATTTTTTTTCTTTAATGAAATTTCTGGTGAAATTAGTAATTATTTGTGGAATTGGACATGAACTTTTCACATTTTTTAGGATTTTTAGAATATATTTGAAAGAACTATTTTTCTATAAGTCACAGTAGTCTTTTAGTCATTAATGCAAGATTTAGATTTGTACTAGTTTTAACATTATCACAGTTACTGCATTTAAACTTTTTTTGGGTTGAAATGGCAAAAAATACCATTAGGTTCAGGAAGCAGTACTAAACAATTTTTAATAGTTTTTACACAGAAGGATTTGTTCAAAATTAGAAAATTGTATATTATATATTGGATATTTGTAGAAAAGATCAAAGTGGTAAAAAAACAATGCAACTCTTTACCATTGTCGAAGAAATATAACTTTATAAAGATACTCATCTATTAAGAGTTCACTAGTTTAGGTATCTGCAACACATTAACGACTGTGTACATTTCAGGGTTAGTGTTTTGGTGTTCAAATGAAAAATGCTGTGTGTTGTTTTGTTAGGCTTTTCTGTAGACCAACACTGGAAACATTATGAAAGTGAACACCCTCATATATTGATAACAAATCTGCTTGTTTTAACAAACAGGCTTCCTTCTCCTGATGTTTAGCTTTTTGAAAATAGTAACAAAGAAGGAAAATCAGCACTTTGTGACTGGATTCAGTACATTTTGCTGTGAAAAGCCACTTAAGTAACACTACTTGCTCTGTTTTTCATCACAATCTTTTGTTACTTCCTTAAGGAACTACAAGTTAAATTTTCTTGTTATTCTTTGAGAACTTGGTGTTGTTTTGAGTGAGGATATTGTTTTAGGCTAAATTGTGGTCTGTAATAGTCTGGTCTTTCTACGTGCAAACTGTAATTTAATTTAGTTTTTTAACTTAATCTGAAGTACATTCAAGTCATGAAGTCTGAAATGTTGATGAACGTGACAGTCTTGTATCTCAAGTAATGTTGTTGTACTAACCTAACTTGGTTGTAGTTTGTTTTCTCAGAAATAAAAGTTGATCTTGAAGCAGCAGATCCTTGTAGCATGGAATTAATTTTCATTTTGAAGTTTCAACTTTTATTATTAAAGGATAAGTTTATCATAAGCCACAATCTTATTGCTGTTTCTTTATTTGTGAAACCATATAGGTAATTTGTAAATATACCCCCATTCTTTTTCACCCAAGAAATCACATGATGGAACCAGTCGGGTGGATTTTGAAAGTTTTATGAGCTATCTTTTATTTAAAAATGCTCAGGTTAGTTACATACTCTTTGACAATTACTTTAAGAGTAATTCTATTTTTTCAAAAAATATCCCTTGCATCCTCCACACAATCTGCTGTAATTCTTAAATAGTATTACAAATTTCTTGTTCTGCAACATTGTATATCTTTAACTTGTAGCTACATGCACATTGGCTACTTGACGTTATTTATTATTCACTAAAACTGCTTTGCATCATTGTCCTAATATACCTCAACAGTGCTTTACACAATTACACATGATCTTCCAACATTAATTTAGTAAATTTCATGGCTGCCATTTTTCCGTTTTACAACTCTGCTTTGCATCATGGGTTGACACCTACCAACATTTCAGTATAATATGTTTAGAATATGCTTCAACAAAGTTTTTCACTGCTTCTCATTCTAGGTCTTTCCTGATAACTTCCCACTTTATTTAAGAAATATAATCAAACTCAGAGCAGGTATGAATTAAAGTGAATATTATATTTTATAAGAGGTTGAATCTTAGAAAGTTAAGTTGTATGGTTTATTTAAAAAACAGTTCTGCATTGTAACATGTAAAGTTATAAAGTAAGTACAGCCACAGTAAATGTGCCATCTTATCACATGTTAATGGACATATTGTTGATTAGATAAGTATTTGTGAAAAAAAGGAGTCCCACCAAATTCAAATTGCCTGTGGGCTTACTGTAGTCTTAATCAGACCCTGGGCATGGTCTAGTGGTTAGTGTACCAGAATGTAAATCTCGGGTTCAATTCCTGTTGTCAAAAAATCACACTCCACATTTTGGGATTATGGATGTATGGTAAGAGTGATGGTCAAAGCCCTCTCTTCAATAGGCAATATCTGCCTGAGAGTTGGTGGTTGGTACTTGTTAACTAGCTGTTTTCCCTCTTGTCTGTTAGTACAGATAACCCTTATGTTATTAGTTTTTAAACTTCCAGTTAGAACAAAGTGCTTCAAACTTCTTTTATCCAAACATTTTGCAACACTTAAGTTTTGAGGAACATTCATTTTTTATTATTATATAAATTACTTTGTGTTCTTTTCCTTTTTACACTATTTAATTGTCAGTTGTATTTCTTGTTTTTGTCCGTTTTAACCATGTTGAATCTTCCAGAGTTGTTGAATAATGTTGGAACTTTACTTGTTGTTCAGTGAATGAACTTAATTACAAAAATAGTGTTAGGGATTTAGAACTTGTTTGAAAAGTTAATTATAACCATGAAAACGTGTATCAGACGCAGTGAAACAAGTGCACTCAATCCACACTTAATTGTAACTTTTAACTGATGTGCAGTTATGTCGTGATATTATTTATACAGTGAATACCGTATTTGTCGGTGTATAAGACGACCCTGGATTGTTTGAGCAAATTAAGTGTATTTCGTTGAGGTTCGGTGTGTTGGACGACCTCTATTATCAAGCAAGTCTAGGATGTTACATTTGTAAAGAAATTCTTAGAAGTTATTTTTAAACTGCGCTTTAGGATAATCAATACAACCACAAGTGTGAGTTTTTATGCCCTTCAAACTCTACAGACAGCCCAATACGGCTTAACTTAAGTCATAAACATGTAATAAACAACTTTACAAAGTTTTTATCACAGTTGAACTATTACAAAAAAGATACTACACCGTAAGATATAGTGATTTACTAAAAAAGATGTCTACAAAATTAATGTACGTTACAGAAACTAACTTTTTGATATAATAATAGCAATATTTTAGTATGACGGATGAGATCAATACATTTCAAATAAATAACTTCTAGCTACGAAGACAAATGATACAATTACAAATATGTTATTGTAACTCAGTAGGTGGCACGATATAAAACGGACTTACTAAAAAAAGTAAAAGGAACAACGTAGTTTGGTTAAATGTGCTATTAATCGGAGAGTTCATACTGGAACTCTATCTTTGAACCTGTGTATAAGACGAGGGGTAAAATCAAGCAGCATTGTCTTAAGAGTAAAAAGTATCATCTGATATACTGTTAAATACGGTAATTACTTTTGAAGAATTATAAAACAATATATGGACAGAAGATAGGGAGAAACAATGCATGTTTTGACAATAGTGGGTCCGATTCTTGCAGGTTTTCGTAATTAACCCTTTTGTGTGTGTGTGTTAAATCCGTTTATAACCAGTATTGTAAGTTAAGGATTCCCCTCCCCCCCGAATATTTTGCGTCCTAACAGAAGTTCACCACCAAATAAATCTATATATTCGATGACGAGGAACCCACTTTGAGACTAATAATGGCTGGAGACGGCTTGAATGGGTAATGAAGGAAAACTTTAATACAACCGCAAATGTACAACGTTGTATTAAAGTTTTTCTTCATTACCCATTCAAGCTGTCTCCAGCCAAATCTATATATTGTGTACTTGCTTAGAAATTAATAACAAACTTTTGGCATAAAAAGATATATATTATGAGGATAATATATTTCGTCTGATAAACAATTTTAACGTATGAAAACGAATCACAAAAAGGAAATTATTCGGTTATTCCTAAATCATGAGACCTACAAAATACTCTGCCTTGCATCATGAATTGTAGGAGTGACGTAGTGATTCCAAATAACGCTAGGAGATACACTCCTCAATGCATAGAAGCTATTCCAACAGTTTTTGTGTGTGTGTGTGTGTGTATGTGAACTGTCCAGTTTTTAATCGTGATGACCACATTTCTACGACTTCTAATGAAAATCTTAATAGTAAGAGATATTTATTCAGCAAGTTTTATATTGTCATTGCAAACGTCTCTCATCGGCCGCTTTTATCAACAACAAACCAAGTACTAGACTCGAGGTTTGAAAAGTTGAAAATAAAAGTGGAAGTTTGAGTATAGCTCAGAAGTCTGTTTTAACGTATACAGATAAAATTAAATTTTATTCGCTAAGCTACTGACCATTCAATCTCATGGGGCGTCAGTAACTTCTACAATGTGACTGTCAATCCCAATATTCGCTGGTAAAAGAGTAGTCCAACAGTTGGCGGTGGGTGGTGATGACTGTCTGTCTTCCCTATAGTCTATCACTGTTAAATTAGGGACTACTAGCGCAGATAGTCCTTGTGTAGCTTTATGCTAAATTCAAACAACATAAGATATTCAGTAAAATATTACAAAAGTAGAGAACGAGAACTTTAATAAGATAAAGAGTAGAATTACATATATTCTAGGTACTCGCCGTACATAAAGAAAACAAACTAATGTGTTAATTCTTAAATGAGAAGTGCTTCAAAAATGTGACCAAACTTTAGAAAAAGTGAAAGAAAGAAGTAACCTGGCAGATAATTCGAAAACTAGCTGAGAGTTGTTTCGACATTCCAGCAACACACCAGGTAAGAAAAATATATAATTTTTCTCTGTTATCGAGTGTCTTCTTATTTGTTCCAGTTTATATAATTATCACCTCTTGTTGATAATAATCGCGTAAAGCTATCCTAGGCCTGTCTGCGCTAGCTGTCCCTAAATTTGAAGTGATAGACTAGAGTGAGATCAACTAGTTGATACCGCCCACTGTCAACTCTTGGGGTTTACCGTAACATTATAACATCCCCATGGTTGAATGAGCGAGCATGTTCGGCTGCAGGGTTTGATCTTGCGACCCACAAATTGCAAGTCAGCGCCCTAACCACCAGACCATGCCAGGCCCTGTTATCACCTGATTAGCCGAAAGAGCTATATTTTGCATAGTTGAAATAACCCTTAACTCTTCATAGGAACATTCGTGAATGTAAAATGTATGACACACAGAGAATATAATTGTTTCAAATGGTGATTAAATCAGGGGTGATAACTCGGAACTGAGGGAAGTGCACAAAGAATTACTCTTCAGTTTCTCTTTACTCCAATAAACCTGGATATCTAACACAACTCCATAACATTTTGCTCGGGCATTTTTATATTTCTTTAACTGGCGTGGCATACTTGTTAGTGTTCTGGTGCTGGATTGTAAAATTGAGGGTCCACGGTTCGCATCCTGTTGCTGCTAAAATTCTCTCCGCACTTTTAGGCCATGGTTGCATAATAAGAATGACTGTCAAATCCAGAGTTAACAGTGAGTGCTGTTCACTAGTTGCTTTCTCTCTATCATGAACTACAATAGTGGTTCATAATAGGGATCGCAAGGAATTGCACAAAACCCTAATAGAACGTTTAGGCAAAATGCACCTCAAAGAATAAAGATTCAGTTCAAACAACACCAGTGGCATATCCTGGCCGTTGGCTTTGGTTTATCGCATTTGTATAACAGTAATCAAAACATATAAAAATATCCAAAATCATCATGAAAAACGCGTAACCAAAAATCAATTAGCATAATAAATAATACTAAATTAGCGCCATCTGGCATTTACTACCCTACTTTGCACCAAAATCATGAGCGGTATACTCCCAAGGTGTTTAACGCACGCTGATAGGTTGAACTGTCTTCGCCGCACCAATCGTCATAGACGACACATATAATCAGTACTCGCACAGTCACTGCAGTCAACAATTTTATTTTATCTGTTATTTTATGACCCTTAACCCTAGATGTTGTCAGTCGATTTGACCGACCTCGTAACCATCATAAAAATTAGGAAATAAATCTATATTACCCATTCGTTTGTTCTAGAATGACTGCAGATTGTGACAGGAAACCCCAAATATTGATTCGAAATAGCTTAATTCTCGTAACAGTATATATCTATTTATATTTCTCATTTTTTTATTGACCTTTGATCCGTGTCAAACTAGAAATATCCTGACACAAGTTGAAATTAAGCGC